TCAATAGCTTCCAATATTTTCAACTCATTTCCCCATAGACCTTGATTGTTGTTCCTACAGTGTCAGTAGACCAAGTAGTTTCTGCTCGAAGTATTGAGGTTGCTTGACTATTTCAGTAGACTCCATGGATTTCACCATCTGTCATATACATTGTCAAAAATAGTGCAAACACCGTGAATCGAACCCTCAGCTCCACAAGACATCTCAGGGGTGGAGAAGAGAGCAATCTAGCAGCTGCACCGTACAACTGTTTAAAGCAATTAAACAGAGCTCACTAGATGCTGTTGTCACATAGCCACGCCCAAATCTGAGGTGAGGACTTCACCTTGCTTGTCAAGGTCTCCCAAGGTCATAAATACCAAACAGGTACAAACAAACTACCCAGGGGCCATGGGGGTCTTTTCTTGCATAAGGCACATGCGAGCGGGCAAGCATGAACAAACAAACTTTCTACAGGCCATGGGGCTCTTTTCTTGCATATGGCACACGCGAGCGAGCAAACTGGTGCAAACAACTGGTCTTTTCAAAACATGATATCGTTGTCTCTTTCTTAGCGCCAGCTCCAATGTTTATATACATAACTATGTAGCGCTATAGCTCTTGAACACTGTTTCCTTTGTTACGAAAAAAAAGTCGCATCGTATTGGTGCAAAGCAGTGTATTTGTCAGCAAGCAAGGTGCCTGCTGCCGCTGCTAAGTGTCAGCCTCTAGTAGACAAAATTTCATTCATTGATTGTCGGCATTTGGCCACGCTTGATTTGGGCATCCCACAACCTGCCCACAAGCTCCTCAACCACTACCATCATCGATCATCCATGACGCCCACTCATGACCACCGCACCACCACTGTCACCAATGGCCACCACAACCCACAACCCTCATTGACCACCCACAACCAGCCCGGCATGCCCCAACACCACAAGAACAACGCGGCAATGCCACATCACCAGCTCTGGCAAGAAAACGAGTGCCTGCAACATCAACGCGACAACAAGGACAGTGACAACGTTGTGTGCCAACCCAGGTGAGCTAACACAACCCCTGCCCCCCATTCCTTTAGTCATACAATGTTCAGGTGCCACGTCGCTAGAAGCGACGTGGCAACCAAATGACGAATGACAACTAATTCACTGTTCGTCGTCTGGACTGACACGACACAACGACGGTGCAACGCCAACACAGGACAGCGATGACTCAACAACAATACGGAATTACCATGCGACTACGACACAGGACACAGATGTGCCACGTCATCCCAGATGGCGACAACATATGCCATCATCACCGTCCACAGTAGACAGGTGAGCACATCACAATGTAAGCCCCACCAGCTCCTCTTGTTCCCCTTTCTAATAGCCACAACCCACCTAGCGGCCATCATAACCACCGCCATGTCACCACCTCGCCCTCTGCTACATTGAGCAATGTGACCCGATGACGATGACGACAACACACGACAATGGCTACATGATGATGGAGATGGATGGACGACGACGATACAGGTGGCGGCAATAACGGACGACCACAACCACAGTGCACAACACGACGAAAATGACCATGACGATGGACGACGCAAAGACGATGATGACGGACAACAACATCAACAACGCTTGAGCACTCCCTCCCGAACCTGAATGAGGATACCCTGGTGTCCCTTCATTCATGTGTAATGTTATCCATTATTTTCACCATTCATACTTTCTTGGATATTGGCTTTAAGCCTCTTTATTAGTGTGGCTGTTATTGTAGA